CCCTTGAGTCAGCCACAGGAAACCTTGCCCCTTCCATAGCCAAGGATGATAGCCTCTAGGCCTGCGGTCCGATCGTTCCGTCGAAGCGAAGAGCTGACCTCTCTCTCCGGGCGCACGCCCCCGAATCGCGTACCTCCGCACATTGTGGTTCCTTGGCTGCACTCATCCCCCCTCTGCTTCTATTGGGACCAACCCTGCGGCCGCTGTCTGCTGAGGATCACCCCTTTCTCCGGGCCTCGTCTCTTTCCGGCTTCTTCCCATAGTCCCAAGGTCAGTTGCGGTCCCCGTTCTTTTAGTGTGTCCCATTGAAACTCTATTTCCGGTATGCTCCCGGCACCGTATTTGCGTTGACGCTAGCCGCCTTCCTCCTTGCTAGTACAACGTTAGTGAAAACCAAAAGGACCTAGGTCCCCATTCAATCCCCATGCAAACACAATCCAGAAACAAAAAAAGTAAGGAAGTCACAATTTTTTTATTTATTTATTTTTATCGTGAAAAGGAGCGTGCGGCGGGTGGACCGAAAACTCCTCTCAGGCTTCCTTCCCCTTTACTTGAACACAACGCCCCACTTAATCAGTTGAGGCCTTCGCGCCGAGCTCGTTCATTCAAACCTCACCCCTTCCTTGGTTGTTCGGTCGGCCTGCTTTTATAGGCACGCCACCCAGGCCCGGTGTCAACCATATCCCCCCCCTGCCCTTCTTCGGGTCAACCCGGTAGCTGCGGTCAAAGCAAAACATGCGCCCTAGATACCCGACTTCCCGAGGAATCTCCAAGAGCGGTGTCAAAATGTCAGATTTTTGGTCCGCTCGCAGCCCGCTCACGCCCTCGAGTCGACCGCCCTGTCCCTGCTTGTTCAAACGTTAGTTCAGATCAACAAAACCTCGGATTCCCCCAGCAACCCCTCAGATCTCACACGCGCAGGCATCAAAACATGCAAAGAAAGAAAACGTGGCAGAAAAAAAAACCTGGTTCGTTGATTCAAGCGTCGCGGCTGGTAGACAACAGCCCGACACTAGGAATGGTGGAGTCGCTACTGGAATCGCTTTGTTGGCTCCCTCCTCCAATGGGATGAAATTTCGGCCCTTACTGGCCGCCTCCCTCCTTCCTGGTTCAAAGCCAAAGGCCGCGGATACGTTGCCCAAGCCATTTGCTCCATCATTATCTGGTTGATCGGGGCAGACAGAACAATGTCCTCTTTCGCCAGCAGTGGTCTAACGACCCGGCCATCATCCAAAAAATCAAGTGTTGGATACGGACAATGATCAAAGTTGACTGGGTGAGACGGGCCCACCGAGCCTCGACTCCAAGGGGACGCCACTGGTTCCTGGTCACTTGGGCAAGAGACAAACCAGCTGGCTGCCATAACCCAAGAGGGCAAGCTTCACATCTCCCCTTGGCTCTCAGTGTAGTTTCCTTCCCCCCCCCCTGTTCCCTTACCCCTCCCTCCCCCACTCCCCTTCTTACTTTTCACCCCATTCTTCCCTCTCTTTCCCCTTCTTCTGCCTTCTCCTTTCCTTTTCCCTCTCCCCTCTTCCTCACTTCCTTCTCACCTTCCCACTCTCCAACACTAGAGTTCAGCAGGATTAGCAGAGGAACCAGGGCAGCTCGGTTCAGGCTCCGACTATAGGAGGTCAACAGGGGAGGAGGGTGGAGAGTGCCACAGTTCACGAGGAACCTTGGTTCCATCCAGCCGGCCGATGGCCTGTGTATTTTCATTAGCACTTCATTATATTAGAATAGGAGTAGATAAGAGTAGAGTGGGTTAGGCCAGAGTTAAGATAGGGGCTCGTTAGACACTCCTCAGGCATGTAAATCACCCGAGGAAATCGTCGTTCAAGTTCCACCTATCCTCGGAGACGATCCCCGAAAACCAAATGTGAAAACATTTCCTTGGGCTGTCCTCGGGGCGTCCTCAGGCTACAGGCATTTGGCGGCGATCCCCAAGGTACCTCATGAGGTCCCTCGGAGGTCGAGTATCGGTGTAAATCGGGACGGCGGCGGCACCCTTGGACGGCGACATTTTTTTGGATGCTGGTCCAATGCAGTTCCTACCGAGCACTGCACGGATATGTTCGGCCGACAACATTCGCCTTCGGGGGAACTCACGACAACGGTAACCGTTGGGGGACGGCCGGCCTCCGCGAACGTTTGCTGGCGTTCGCAGTCCGTCGAGCTGCCCGACGACAAACGGAAAACGGTCCAACGGTCTTCAATTTCGAATATTTTAGCCGACAATCGTTCCCGCCACCCACCGCAGTCTGCAATGTAAATTGGCAGAGGGCGTCTTTTTGTCGGATGCAGTCGTCGGCTATTTGCTGCCATCTGCTTTGCCGTTTGCTGGAGGTGCACTGTCGTCATCTGTTTGGTGCTCGTCCCCACGTGTCGTTCATGGCCGACGTCTTCCTACGGCTGCCGCTGCTTGTCCTGGTCGTCATTTTGCTTCTCCTTGTCGTCGTATTCCACGTCTGCATCCTGGGTCAGGTGTCTGGTCGCACGCGCAAGAGACGATCGGATGTGCGTCCCTGTTGACGTCGTCCACCGCTCGCCGCAGCCCCAAGCTGATATGCCTGCGCCGCGCCGGCCTCTTTCGAAATTCAAATTCCGAAAAGGGAGACCCGTGCGCGCGTGTTCCTTTTTTTTTGACCCTGCCGCCAAATTTTGAATTTTCCAGCCGCCCGGAGGCGGACCACTCCAGACCACCTGGACATCAAATCGTGGACCACCACCCATAGCCCCGACCCGTGGCCACGTATTTTATTTTGAACATCCCCGCGGCCCGTCCTCGAAGCGTCCTCAGGCGATCTTCCCGAGAACGAGTGCAACGAAGGCGGGAAATTCCTCTGGCGACCTAAAGGAAAACTCCTCGGGCCCCGAGGACGCCCCAAGGAGTGTCTAACGAACCCCATAATGCAGTGGAATTTTCGTAAATGTCACTTTTTGATGGAATGCCATCAACCTGTGGAGGATAATACATAGCATGGAAGGCCTGTAGTAGGGCCCTTCCACAGATGCAAGCCTGTAAGCTAAGCTGGCTGAAGCTGCCAGTATCAAGGGCCGAATTGTGAGGTCCCGGCCTCGTACTGTTACCTTGCAATGAATGGGTTGAAAAAAAAAAAAAAAAAAAAAAAAAAAAAAAAAGACGGGGGAGAGTGCCGCCTGTTCACTCATCTTTTCCCCTGAATGTCCCACAAGGGTGCCTTCCCGCCACCATAATGACGTAGGGATTTTTTGGGCCTCGCGGCACAATTCATGGAACTTGGAAAATGACGAGTGCATCTCGGCGTAGGGGGTGTGGCAAGGTACATCCTCCACGGTGAATAGCCACCGACGTATCTTGTGGCCTTCTATGTAAAAAATGCACTTCTCATTTTTCACAGTTTGTGGGCCCTCTCCGGTAGTCTGTTCTGTTTGCTTGCTGTCGATTCTATCTGCCGTAGCAGCAGGCGGTTGCTCCTATGGAGTGCCAAACTTTTTTTTTAACGACGTCCCATCGAATTTTCTGATGTTATAAAAATAAATAAATAAATAAATATAAATAAATAAATTAAATAAAAATTCTGATGTGCGCAAGCAATTACGTTCCGATCTTCCGCATCGATCGCGTGCTTCATGTTTGTTGCGAAAAGGGTTGACGACATGGTTTGTTTCTCTTTTTCCCCTGCTTTGTTTCGCCCCCCCCGTTTTTATTCCCGATCATCGAACTACAAGAATGAAAAATGTATCATGAGGTAGAACGCGGCAACATGCATTCCTCAATTTGACGGTTCGCTCAGGAAGAAATGGGAGAGGAAGCGGGCTCCGTTCTTTTTTCAGTTCAGGGAAAGGGAAAGAACGGAGAACACGAAACCAGGTTAATTAAAAGCGGAACGACGCTTGTGCGAGTGCGAGTTTTTTTTGCAGCCCTTCGGGACATCCGTTAAAATTGGAACGATACAGAGAAGATTAGCATGGCCCCTGCGCAAGGATGACACGCATAAATCGAGAAATGTTTTTTTTTGCAGGTTGTGCAGGCGGCCGTAGTGATGGTGGTCCAATTATTGTTCCCGTGTTCCCGAGGACCGAAACCGCCAGAGGTCAGAGACCGCGCCTCCGGACTCCGAGAAAGGACCAAAACCTTTCAAAAAACGAAAAAAAAAAGAAAGGACCAAAACCCGCCTCCAAACGCAGGAAGGCGACAAATCTAGTTCCTCCGAGTAGGTCCAGAGGTCCATACTGTCCGAGCAGATTTGGGCCTGGCCTCATGACTCCTGGAATGTGCGAAACGGAGCTTGTATCTTCCGCAAAAAACATCAGAAGATGCACTCACCAGGGGTTTTGTCTTTTTCACATTCTGTGAGTGGTGTGGCGATGCCCTTGACTCAGCGAGGGGGACGGACTGCATGCCTCAGATTTGGTTGAGACTGCCTTTAGGGGTGTGGTTGCACTCGTCGCACTCAAGTGATCTCGGAAAAGAAAAAAAGAGAAGTGACCAGAACGGGTCTCTGGCCGTCGATCCTCGTAATCCACGGCGCGCTCCCGAGCCAATCGAGGGACGCGGGAGGGTTGTGCAGGTTCGTCCGTGCTGAGGCGCAAGCGGAAAACAGTCCTCCGGGAGACTGTCGACGGGGAGCAGGTCGCGCAACGGGGGTTGGGGAAGGCGTAGCAGGGGGAGAGGGCAGAGGGCAGAGGGCAGACTGACGAAGCGTGAGACCTTCTCCCCGGAGGGGAGAAGGGAGGGCGAGGGAAAGGGAGGAGAGGCGAGGGGAAGAGCACAGGGCGGGCGAGCGAGCGGGCTCTAATGAGAGGCAGATGAGCGGGAATTATGGGGCATGGGTGTGGTGGACTCACAGGTTTCTTTTCCCGCCGAGCGGGTGTTTGTGATGAGATACGACGAACAGGCCGCGCTTTGCCGGACTTCATTCAGGAAACAGAGTACGGAGGGCGAGGGGGAGGGTATGGGGACGGGGAAAGGAAGGCGTCACGGTGGTGAATGTAGTGAATGCGTGCTAGCGTAGTCGAAGTGAGAGGAGCAAAGAAGTGGAAGGTGGGCGGGGAAGGAGAGCGAGAAAGGAGGATGCACAAGGAAGGAACGAGACGAAGGAAAAGCATCACTGTCGGATGCTAGGCGATCAATCTACCGGCCTCACGAACGCCCTGCCGCTCGGTCTTTCACCTTCACGAGTTCCCGGCTTTTCTGTTTGGAACGTGTACACGATCAAGGCGGAATCATCACTCGTTGAAGTGAGAGAATTAACTTCGTGCTGCTACGGCTTTTGCTATGTGGCGGCAATCTCTGTAGCAGGTAAACTATTTCTCCCTTCCTCTTTTCGTTTCCTGTGCGTCCTCCGACCTTTTGCTGTCGTATGTCTCCTCTCCCCGCCCCTCACTCTCTCACTTTCTCTCTCATCTGCGGACTTGCAGGTTATCTTCTTCGATCTGTCTTCTCGCCATCCCTCCTCCGCTCTCTCTTTCTCTCCCTCTTCCCCCCATCCCTCTCTCTTTTATGTCTACCTCCTTCCCCCTCCCTCCTCCCTGTATACCTCTCTATATGTTCTCTCTCTGTCTACATGTATGTACATATATGTGCGTCTGTCCCAGCCTTCTTCTCATCACGGCCTCTCTCTCTCTCTCTCTCCCCCCCCCTCCCTTCCTCTCTCTCTCTCTGCGTTTCCCGGTTTTATTACTTTATCCATTATGGAGCAGCTCACAGCACCAACCGAATCACTGTTTTTCGCAAATATTTCCTACTACAGTTTTCGAATGAGTCCTCCGTTTTGCTTGTCCTCGTACCGTCGTCCAACGAATAAAAGGCGTGGTCATTGTAGCTATATCGAGGCCGAAATTTTAGGCCAGATAGCTAGAATGGCGAAGCCTTCTGTTCGTGAGTAGGCGGTGGGCGACGTTTCACTGTCCCTTTTTGTTTCACGCTTACTCATTCCAGCATGCGTGGTTCCTTCTTCTTTTTCTTTCTCCTTATTGGTTGTACCAAAACACGGTCAACTTGAATGTATATCCCCTCTTATGGGTTGTGCCAATACACACTCAATTTGCATGTACATCCCAAGAGAAGCAAATTTCTATCCCTCCGTTTATTTTTCTTTTTATTGGGCGAAACGATAAACTCTTCAATTCATGTCTATATTTAAAACCTGCATTTCTAGTCCGAGCAGAAGGAGATTCATCATCGCTTCTTTTTTTGTCAGTGGAGTAAGCGCTTTCTATGCACAGAGCTACTCTCTCTCTCTGTCTGTCTTTTCCTTCGCTTGTTCTACCCGATCTCTATGTTTTCGCTGTAACACCAAAGCCGGGAAATTCCCTTTTTACCTCAGGGAGAAGCGCAGTTTTGAGTACTCCCTATCTCTGTGTGCGCGTGGCTTTGCATATTTCCTTTCCATGCCGCCGCGTTTTTTTGTTGGGTGTATTTCCCTGTGTGTGCGCGCGTTTTTATATATTTCCCCTCTCTGAGCGCGCGTTTCTTCTCACTGTTCTCCTTTGTCTAATCTTTCCCTGCGGAGCCGTCGCTTCATTGATGACTTGCCTTAGCTCAATTGAAGAGGTGCATGGGTCTCCTCTGTCCTATCGTCTTCTTCGTTTTGGGAGTTGTGGTGTCGAGTGTCTCTTGGACGCATTCCCTCTTTGACATTTCCGTCTCTAGACGCGTTCCTTTCCTTAAGCTCTCCGACTCGTTCGGACACAGCCACAAACTACTTCCCTTCCGCTTTTCTGTTCCTCGAACCCTCTTCTCGTCTCCGCTCCCTTCTCGTCTTATCTGTGTCCTGTTCGCTTGTTTTGTCTTAGCAGAGGATGGGAGATCGGTTGCGGCTTGGGGTCGGGATCGCGGCGAACGATTAGAGGATAGGGGTAGCGTCGAATGATAAACGAGGGGTGGGGAACGCTACAGGCGAACAGCGAATGTCGTCATATTTAGCCTCCCGTGCCAGTAGTATCTTCTACGTATCTTCCACGTATCTTCTAAGTATCTTCTACGTATCGTCTTCGTAAGCTGATATTCATAATCGAGAACGGTTGATAATATACTTAGACTGGCAAGCAGCTTGACGCGGAGAGCGACTGTTCGTTCATGATGGTCAGAAGTTAGTTTGTCGGATGGGAGTTAGATTGTCGTAAAGAGGGGAGCGCATGATGGTGATATCAAATTCGGAAGTGTTGCAATGGCGCTGAAAACGTGCGAAAGTGACAAGGGAGCTGAAGGCTTGACCCTGTTATTGCGTCCAACGGGATGATGATGATGATGATGATGATGATGATGATGCTGACGTGGATGCACGTTGGAGCGCGAGTTAAGTGCAATAAGCCGTGGGTATCTCACTGTGTTCCAAATGGTATTATTTGCAGGGGATCCTCGGAATGACAGCCGGATCCTTTCCTCACTTTTTCACCGGTACACATCTCAATGTACTTTTAGGATGACATTATTGCGCAGCGCTTCCATCACTGCAATGAGAAGACATGCGCGCGGACAGTTCGGGAGGGGGCAGGGAGAGAGAGAGAGAGAGAGAGAGAGAGAGAGAGAGAGAGAGAGAGAGAGAGAGAGAGAGAGAGAGAGAGAGAGAGAGNAGAGAGAGAGAGAGAGAGAGAGAGAGAGAGAGAGAGAGAGAGAGAGAGAGAGAGAGAGAGAGGCAGGCGGGAGGGTTTTGCTTTCACTATGGCGTAGGCCTAATGGCATGGCATCGGTGGTTACCGGGATTACCGATGTGCGTGTCATTTGCTTTCACTATGGCGTAGGCCTAATGGCATGGCATCGGTGGTTACCGGGATTACCGATGTGCGTGTCATTAAAAAAACATGGAAGGGGTCTACGCGTTCTATGCTAGACACTGTGGGTCGGGAAGCTATTTATTTAGTGTCCCTTTTTTCATCTCGGATCTGGAGTATCAAGTGCGCACGGATGTTCACAGGCCTCGACTTCTAAATTAAAGAAGCTGCCAGGCAGTTTTTTCGTTCTCTTCGACAGCACTCACGAGTACGGTAGTCTCTATCAACTTGCACAATATACGGAGTATGATTTCACCGATAAAGCCGTGAAGAAGGCAGTCAGAGAAGTTCTAAAAGGAAGGAGAGGGGATGTAAGTTTAAAACAGTAAACGTCATCATTGTTGCGCGAAGAAGAGGGCGGCCGATGTGTGAAAATCGCGGCTAGTTAATTAGAAGGGCGGAAATAGTGTCGACTCCATGAGCATCGGACGCACTGGGGAAAATGCCGCCCAGGAAAATGTCGCCCAGGAAAATGGCGCCCAGGGAAATGCCGGCAAGGAAAATGCTGGCAAGGAAAATGCCGGCAAGGAAAATGCTGTAAGTTGAGGAGGGTGGATGTATGGGTGTACCGACGGACATCCACCTTTCCCAACTCTATGGAATAATTCACAAGATGACGAGTCGGAGATGTTAGTGTCAGTTGAGGAGGGTGGGTGAATTGGTGTATGTGGGTACCGGCGGAAGCGCAACTACCAGCATCAGGATTATAGGGGAAATGCCGGAAGTTGTTGCGGTTTCACGAAGATGGGTAGAATTGCACGAGGTAAGAGAGGAGGGAGAGGTGGGTTGATGAATGGGTCGGTGGACATTCTACTTGTCCAACGCTATGGTAAAATACGGAAGCTGATGTAATGCTGACTAGGTAAGTGCAATTAGGTAAGTCTATGGATTTCAATGTGTGGGGACAATCATTACGTGTATATATGCAGTGAAGAAGGCGTGCAGTTACGAAGACGGGGGAAGGAGAGAGGAAGGACGATCGACAGCTTAGCTTAGCTGGAGTTTACAGCGCTGGCGTCGTTAGGTCGCCATTATACGTCGACAGGGAATATGGATATTGGTTCTTCTCCCTGCGTGCGTGCCCTCTTCCTCATGTACGCCCTCTCCTCCTCGCTTTTGTATCTCAACTCTCTAACTGAAAACTGTGCATGCATGCGAAGAAGTAATGAACTTTCTACTGATGCTTGTACGAGAAGCAGTCTATTGCCACATTTCACTACTCTTCCGTTTTCTTATCTTCATTCTCCTCGGCCTCGTTAACCTTCTCCTCCTCGCCCAACGTTCCGGGTGCCCGGGCCGTGATTATGACACTCTCGCTCTCGTCCGTCTTCCTCTCCTTTTTTAGGATATCGTTTATTGTGACGTCGAGCTGAAGGAGCATAGCACTTACCTTCTTTTCGGCCTTGATTTCGACAATGCGCTCTATCTTTCTCCTTTTCTCGCAGTTACGAGTATTGTTTTCCGTTTCGTGATTCGATCCCCTCTCCAGTTTTTTGATGTATATGAAGTCTACATTATATTATATTAGTGGTGATTCCCAGGTGGTAATTCCCAATAGCAAGTAGTAAAGTAACTGCAGGCGCTATGATGGCAAACGCTGTGAACATTTTATTTAGTTATATACTACTAATAGTATTTACCCTCGAGTTTTTGAATGTCTACGGACTTTACCATAGCACAGTAGTAGTAGTAACACACACACACACACTAGTAGTAGTAGTAGCAGTAGTAGTAGTAGTAGTAGTAGTAGAAGTAGTAGTAACACACACACACACACACACACTAGTAGTAGTAGTAGTAGCGGAAGTATGAGGAGAGAGATGAATGCGAAACGGAAATAGGGGGAGCATGTCACCCAAGACCATCCCTTACCGTACAATGAAAGGTTTTAGATTGTAATTTTTTTTTGAGGGGAATTTCGTGGCCATTTGGAAGTCTTTTTTTTTAATTTAATACAATTCGTTGGAAGTACTAGTTTTTTTTTTTTTTTCCAAGTAGAATTCGTTTCTGGTATGCTTTGTCTGTTCGTTTGTCGTTAATCGTTGACTCCTCTGTGAACTAGCGATTTGCCTTCGTAAGAGATCGGTAGGCCGAGGAGCGAGGCCCTTTTATTGTTCTGGGTTGCTGTCCTCCGAGGCGGAATAGGGTAGGTTGAGGCATCTTTCAGTGCGATTTTCCTTTGGCCTTCGCTGCACCACTCACCAAATGTGATGCAAAATTGGAATGAATTTTTTCCGCTAGAAAAACGTGGAAAGATACACCGCCATGGTTTTTGTTTTTTGTGCATTTAGACCAAGGACCTCCTTTCTCAGCTAGTTTCTTAGGGGCCCTTTGTATTTAAGAACGGTGTGCTATTTTTAGAGAAGAAAATCCAAAGACTTCCTTTCACAGCTAGTTCCTATGCTCGTCCGCTCGTTGCCGTTTGACTCCTTCCCCTTTTTTGTATTCGGTGCTTCGCTCTTTGCTTTGATCGCGCGCGATGTTCGCAGCGGCCGTTACCTTGGAGGGCCTTTTTAGGGGAGTTGT